AGTATTTTCAGCACTGTAATTTTAAGCACACACAAAAGACAAAATTACATACACTCAGCAAAAAACAACACAGACATTAGGAATAGATGAAAAGGATGAGTTTGGAGAGGCAGATGACACAGTGAAGGCACGTGTCCCGTACCCACAAAAACAGCTTGTTCTTTGAGGAGTAGGTTAACCATGTGTGTTTTTCTACTGAATTGGAGCTATGTTAAAAAGTACAGGAAAATGGTGGAGACTGTAGTGAAATGTTAAAGATACTCATCTGACAACAAGAAGCCACTTTGGGGATGGTAAGGACAGAATCCAGGATAAAAAAAAAATATGTATATATAAATATTCAGTGGTATATTCTATATTTCTTCTTTAGAGCATAGTTGTATTAAGAGAAAGAAAAAAACTACTTAGATTTGAAGTGGTATTTAACATACAAATAGTATAGGCAATAGGCAAATAGTAGTGTAATAGTAATAACAGTAATTGCAATACTTGAAGTAATACCTATCAATAGCAGTAATTGTAGAAATATGTCAAAATGTTGTTTAATTTCTATAATAACATCTCTTAGAAGAGTACAGATTTTGATATGATTCCTACTTGTTTGAGGCAGTACCAAATCGCAGAAACATACAGTGGTTATTCTGTATTTATTTTAGTCAACACTGAATTTTAAAGACGACAGACAGACAAGGGAGATAGAGAAAAACAAATGTGATACTGTAGTGGGAGTAATACACCCTCTCCTTATGTGAACCGCCTAAACAGAGCAGTCTGCATACACATACTTGTACTGATTACAGATGGAGGATTTTTCTGCTACTACTGTCCAAAGACCTCAATTATCCTGCACTCTTATTTCCCATAAATACAGAAAGGGAAGGCCTATAATCAGACGCTAAATTTACCCCACCTGGCTCAAGCAGGAGCCAGTACAGAGCTGGTCACATGGATTGGACAGCCACAACACACTATAAAGCACGGAGAGAGACGACAATGGACATGTGCCCATTTGGTCAGAACCGGAGTCAAAGGTCAAGGGAGCATCATGTTCAATATTGGTATAATTATTGCAAGCACAGGTGTAGGTCTGTAATAATAATAATAATAATAATAATAATAATAATAATAATAATAATGTATTGTGAAAGTTTTCTGGTGGATGTCCTGCCAAATGCTTTTCTCCATGGAGATGTTATTGCTTTGTCTGGAATGTTTCACAGTACAGCATTAAACCTTTCTATCTTTATGGAGACAAAACCAGACCAAGTTACAGGGCAGATCTGTGGAGAGGGAGCACTGCTCAGAGTCAGAATGCTTGTTTTACTAGGTATTTTTGAGCTATAAAACCACCTGTAATTAAATAAATGCAAAATAGAGCTGTTTAATGTTATACTGTGGAACATTCCTAGTCTGATTCATCAGTCTGACATTGCAGTGTTAGAATTCATTTGCTCAAAGGTACCCAGGTACTTTTTTTATTTAACCAATCGCTGCTATTTGGTAGTAATGTATGTGATGCGCTGCTAACAGGGCTAACTGGTGTATTAAGCTTTTCCCAAATCCAGTATGAAGAAGGGCAATAACGTCTTTCCCCTTGATGAAATTCACCAAACATTCTCTTTATTCCGGCTTTAAATCCTTGATCTCGGGAATCGTTGCCAACACAGAATGAAACTGAGCTGAGGCACTAGGTGGTGCCAGCCTGGCTAGAACATTCCAGGCAGAGCAAAAAATGTCAACAGAATTAACCATTTACCACAATAATAATCTTTATTTGTAAATATTCTCTACCTAGAAAGCTTCAGTCACCATATTTCGGCTGGTTCAAAAAATTACTTTTAAAATCTCAGTGTACAGTAGAAATAAAAACTTAGTCGTTTACTTAAATAATCGTTTGTTCCAGGCCTACACAGGTGCATGTTTGTTTTTTGTAAAATAGTATGACTTTTCACTTCACTGAAAAAAAAAAAAAAAAAGAAAAAAAAAGTGGTTTATTCTAATCCTCTGCAGCTCTTGGGACAACTTTTCCCAGAAACAATTTGAGAGGAAAATGTTGTGGTTTCTCTTGATGAGCACAACTGGCTGGCACTCAAGGTACAAGAAGTTAACAGATCTACAAGCAAGGTTACAAATGTGAATAGTTTGGACACTTCTCTGCCTTTCTGTTTACTATGTGGCCACACTGGTCTTCCCCTGCCATTACGGCTCATATAGCAGTAAACTAGGGACGGTCACACAGCTTAAGTTAAACCACACTTCAACCAAAGGACAACCAAAGAAGGCCAAACCGCTAAATTATGGCAGTGTGAGACAGTCCAAAAACAAACTAATACCAATATTTGCTTTAGAAGGTTGATAGATTTACAACACAGGCTTGTCAAAAGTATCGAAAATCAGATGGTAAACCATTTTAAACCTAGTACTGAAACCTGATACTCATTTTAGCAGGTATCAATGCTAAAAAAAAAAGTCAGAAATCATGAACTGTATCAGAACACGTATAAGACCACATAGACTAGTGTATGCACATGAAGTCACCAAAACCAACGCAATCCAAAACCATTTAACAACTTTGATGTTGTTTCAGCCTCTTGGGTTTTGAGGTGGTTGGGCTGAGTGTGTGGGGGCGGCCAGTGTGCTGATTCAGGCCTCGCTGGTCCAGATTTTTTGAGGATTAATGAAAGAGTAAGGAGGAGACACAAATTCAGGGAGTTGCAAAGAAAACTTAAAAAAAAAAAAAAAACATTAAAACTGCCTGTCCATCTTAATACTACCACAATATTTACTTCAAGATAATTGGCATGGACACCTGAATGACAGTCTGCATGACACCAAAGACCAGGCATCAAAGACTAAACTGTTTGAAAGACATAGGCACTGGGACACCTGATGTAAACAGCCACTTCAAACAGCGCAGAGGAGCAGGCCGATGGAATCAGGTTACTTAAGTCAACACAAGCACATAGACAGATGTGTGGCAAGAGGGCACAGGGCTGGACATGGCACAGAGGGAACCATGAACACAATTTAGATTTTCTGTCAAGTTTGACCTGGTTTAATAGTTTAAAAGTCAAATTGAACTAGTTGTAGAACAGGCACAGAATAATACGTTGTACAGCCCTTCCAAATGGTTTAGTTAGTCTGAAAAACTCCTTTCTGAATTGAAACTCAGATACTAATTAATACTAAAACTAGTATAGAAACTAAACATTCACTTGAGCAGCCATCGATACTAAAACAAATCACATTCACAAGACAGAAACTAACTCTTCCTGAATAGCTTTAGAATGATCTTGAGCAGTATCAGAACAAGTATAAGACCAAACGCTAGCATATGTCCATGGACCATCCAGTTCTATTGTCTAAAGACAGAGTGTATTTTATTCGGAATAGTGACTGATGATCGAGTCTATTCCTTAGTATTGAAAGTGAGTTTGAAATTTTAGTATCATGACAACACTATATGTATTATTAAATATTCAACTATTTTATGTTATTTAAACCCATAGAGACAATCTTATCTCAATTATATGGATCTTAACTTTTTTTAACTTTACAGGAAAATGTGCTGCATTATATGTTAATATGCCATGAGTAAATAAAAATTAATGTAGTAATTACTGTAGTAGATGGAGACAGGCATATCCAATAAATGTTGCAACTGGGTCCAAAGACAAAAATTTTGAAAAAGAAAAAAACAGATCCGCGCTGCAGCTGGAGCTCCAATGACACCACAATGTGACCTTTCGGGGTTGTAGTGCCATTAAAATTAAAATTTGGGAGCGTCAAAGAACTGCAGTGCGGATCCGTTTTTTTTTTCTTTTTAACTAATAATTATTGTTATTGAGAATCCCAAATGTCTATAATCATTACAAAAGGATTAAAATACTTTCTACCGTAACTAAAATATTTAAGTCCTAACTCTTAGACATAAATACTTAGATATAAAAAACTTTTGATAGCCTAAGAAGTTTTTGTTTCATCATAATCTTTGACAAAACTCATGTAAGGTAGGCTGAAAAAAAATCACAGTATGGAAAACACCCAAGGAAGTAAAAGATAAAGTGTGAGAATATTTGGTCACTGGTCAGCCTTTGGCAACACACCCTCCCTTCATCTCTCTTTTACTATAATCAGACAAGCACTGCTGCCATTGGTAGCAGTTCATGGTCGCAGTAGCTGTGCAGGACGGGTACTCGTGGGAAGAGAGGAGCAGCCACTATCTCTGTGCACACCCATAAATCAATAGTGGGTGAATCTCTACCCAGCTGGAATAGCACTGTCAGTATGTTTACCACTCTACAGTGGGTAAGGCAACAGAAAAAATGGAACAAGTTTCCCATTTAGATGTAGTCACTTTTAAAAACATATTTCTCCAACTGCACTGTATTGTGGTGGAAGAGAAATAGAAAAGTATTGCAATAGTTGTTTTGGAGAATATCAGGTATGAAGGAAACAATAAAAATGGCTGCAAACTCGCATCTCATATAAGGGTAATAAACCTTTCACCAGAATCAAATGTTCACAATACTTCAACAACAACCACAGCATTTACATGCACATTTTGCCACAAGTCCAATGGATTGCCATTATACTGTCTGAATATTATCCTAACCTAATAAATAAAAAAATTAGATATAATTTTCCATCTATTCTTAAACAGAATAGAGGCAGCACTGAGCAGCAAGCACTCTTGCTTCACAGTGAGAAGGCTCTGGGTTCATTTTCTGGGTTGCCTAGGTCTTTCTGTGCAGAGTTTGCATATTTCTCCCTGTGTCTGGATGGGTTTCCTCTGGGCACTCCAAATTCACCCATCAACCCAAAACATGCACCACAGGTAACTCTCTGGCTAAGATAGTACTGATCGCGTCTAGTTCAAGATCTGGAGATAGTTTCCTGAGCATTTTATTTGATCTTTGAATCATATTATGTCCTATATTGTGTCCTTGATAGAAATAGAAGGCATATGTAGTTGTTACACATGTATACAGTGGGCTTACCTGAACCGCAGTCAGCTGGGCTCTGGGGTCAAATACTCTCAGGATTCTATCCTGGAATAGATAAGAAATAGTTTTATTGCAAATATGACCCTTTCAAAGAACACTACCATCACAAACAATTAACACACAATTTATAAGAGTTAATTTTTTATAGATAATTCCTATTAGATTTAATGGAATATTTTAGATAAAACCATGTTATCAAGTCCATCTGACTCATCCTTAACAGATGTAATCCAGTGACTTCTCTTTGACCTTAAAAATTCTAACTCTGGTTAGTGCAAACATGAAGTACGCATCCATCAGGGCAGCCAATCAGAGCAGTTCCTGTGTGATTGAGAGGAAATGGGTCCTAATGGGATCAGTATGTGAGCGGGACGTGTGTGTCTGCAGCTGTGTCACTCAATACGCCTGTGACTATGATCACACACCGGCTGATAGTGGATAACAGTTATAAAGCTTTAGACTACACCAGGCCACACTTGCTGTACATATAGATGTCAGGAGCAATCAGGAGGTCACTGGACACTGTCAAGCACTTATACAGGGAAGGGCTATACGTATAAATAAACCACACAGCTGTTTGAGGACAATTATTAGCCTGGGCATTGTCAGAGCAAATTTAAGGTAAGCCACCCTCATGAGACAGATAATGTGTTTGTTTTACTTCCTAATACACTGGTGCGCTCCATATCACTGTTCATTTGTGTCTATGTGAAGCCCACCCACAATTATACAGCTCAAGGCAATCATTTCAGGTCTCGCAGATCTGGGCGTAAGCCAGAGGCTCAAGGACCACTCCAGGGAAAACAGACAAATGAAGGTGCCGCTAAATTATGGCAGGTTATTGTGTCCATAATCCAGTATATTTAAGATAAAGAGGTTCTGTTTACTGTTTTTTGTCTGTAAGGCATACGACTTGTTGAGACAAACAACCATATCTATATCTTCAGTGCAAGAGAGGAAACTATCAGGCTGAGCAAACAAACAGCTGAGGGTCTACTCACAGAGACCTGCCTCCCATCAATAAGCGCAAACAGAAAACATGCTCACACACTTTTAGCCCCATGACAATAGCTCCTGTGAACACAAACACCTCATGTCATAAAGTTTGGGGGCCGCAACGTCAAGAGCCTGATGTGTGCTGAGGCGGCAGCTGTTTAATCACACCAGAGGAGCCTCATTCACAAGCTGCTCTTAATAAGTTTCACTGTTAGTCTGTAGCACACATCTCTGCTCACAGACACACACAGGCGCTGGGAATGTCCATCCAGGAGGACAGCCTTCTTGACTTTTTTGACATAACAAGCTGCCGGTGCCCTTTTCCCAGTATCCCACGGTTACTGAAGTCAAACACTGTTGAGACTGGCAGAACAGAAATAACACATACACTTTCCATCCTCCAAATGTCAGCTCTTTTTGAAATTTAAAGTGGACTGCTGGTCACTAATGATCTAACAGCACATTTGGGTCCCCCTTAGAGTCATTCTACCTTTACATTCCCTTTCTACTTCAAAGTATGCCATAAATACACATCTATTTGAGCCTGTCATATTCCTGCTCTATGGGGTGGTGGTCTTGCCTTCATCTCCGCCATATCCCATTGTTTACCCTAAGCAGAATGTGGGGGAGCGGCAGGATTGAACCCACATGCTAGCAGGCCCTATTTGCTTTAACAAGGTGGATTGGAGAGATTGAAGGGGGTCTGCTAGGTTAAATGACACCAGCAGAGTTGGACAGGGCAAAGGCTGGAGTGGGCCCCAAAGCTATGAAGTTGGTTCAAATTTCCCCCCGCTGTCAGTCAGGTGCCTACCTCTCTCAGGCCTTAGTGGACTGATTGTTGGACTGGTAGTAACGTTGGTGATGATGATTATCCTGTCAACATAAGTACCACATCCTGAACGCAGTCAGTGACGGGTGGCTGTAGTAATTTGTTCCTTGTCAGCGCAAAGACAAACAAACGAAGCTGGACAGACAGTTGTAACTAATAAGTGTGCGCAACTGGTTATTTTTCTGTCTGAATATTTGTAGAACTTCAAGTTAAAGAAGGCCATTATGTGTTGCTATGAAAGTACACTATGTCATAACATATTCATCTGGATTTCTAGCTTTTAATTGTATAATAATCTCCCAGGGCTCAATGTGCAATTTTATTATTAATGAATAAATGTACTTATTGAATGTTTAAATAAAAAGTGTATAATGATAATGCATACTTCATATTGGTCATTTGGACACTCAGTGTTGCACCACCAAAAAAGCTGATATCACTCTTTCATACAAAACCTTTA